ATGTTTTCGAGAGCAGGCCATGTCCTAGTAAGGGTGCCCCTTCTCCTGTTGGTCTGCTTGATCCCCGAAGCCGAAAACCAATGAAGGTGTACAATTGCCGCGGGTTTCCGAGGCAGCTCTGGGCATCAGTACCCAAAACTTGGGAGGCGCATGGCCATGCAGTCTTTCAGTTGCAGGGTTCATTCAAGGCATGTTTCCTCTACTTTGTCCTCAGAAACAAGCGGCGCCTGCTTGAATCTGCAGCTGCTAGTTAGGAGATGTTGGAACCCAGAGACAGCGCATGCATGTAAACAAGGCACCGGAGTTGCATTGCTGGCTGTGCATTGAGCACCTACTGGCCTTCTGGGCGATCGCACGTAAACTCTCCACGCGGAAGCTTGGTCGCAGCAGTTCATGGAAACTGTGAAAATACCACATGGTATATAAATATGAGAATATGTATATATATATATATATATATGGTACCCCCCCCCCCCAAAGATCTAGGTATTTTCATGGTTTTGGGATCTGTTTTAGGGTTTAAGGGTTGGGGGTGGGGGGCTAGCGAAACATGTAAAACTCAATATGGACATGTGAATCTTGATATGTGCGAGTCTTCATATGTGCGTGGTCGTCTTTTCAAATTGTGAGCCCGATTGAAAACGATTGAAACGATTGAAATTCAATCGGAGACCGGATTGAAGATTGAAGATTGAAGATTCCCGGAAACCTTTTTTTCTGGGAATCTTCAATCTTCAATCTTCAATCCTGCCCCCGATTGAATTTCAATCGTTTCAATCGTTTTTCAATCGGGCCCCCGATTGAAAAACGATTGAAACGATTGAAATTCAATCGGAGACCGGATTGAAGATTGAAGATTGAAGATTCCCGGAAAGCTTTTTTCTGGGAATCTTCAATCTTCAATCTTCAATCCGGCCCCCGATTGAATTTCAATCGTTTCAATCGTTTTTCAATCGGGCCCCCGATTGAATTTCAATCGTTTCAATCGTTTTTCAATCGGGTTCACGTCTTGTAAAGTGTCAGAATTAGCTTTCGTGGCGTCGCTCAAGATCACGTCTTCGCAGACATTCCACTCGAAATATACTTGACCATTTGTGTTTGTAATACTCGCAATGGCTCGCATCCCAGTGGCTGGCTCAGTCTTATGGTTTTTATTGGTTTTTGCGGTGTTTCGGGAGCGTGGGTCCCACGCTAAAAATCGGTTTTCCCGATGTTTTTGAAAGCCTACCTTCAAAAAACATAGGTAAAACCAATGTTATTGAAGGCCTACCTCTAAAAAACATCAGTAAAACCGATGTTTCGTGAGCCCATGCTCCCAAAACATCGCAAAAAAAAACGATCGAAACTAGTGGCTGGGGTGGCCGGCCGAGTAGTTTCAGAAACCATAGTTTTTATGTTTCTTATTGGTTTTTGCGGTGTTTCGGGATCGTGGGCTAAACCTTTAATAAGCCCTGTAGGCTATACGGTTAAGGTTTAAAGGTTTAGGGTTGAAAAGTTCAACAGTCAGCCCATAGAGTTTAAACCTTAAGGGTCCTAAACGCTTAACCTTTAAACCCTATAGGCCATAGGGTTAAGGTTGAAAGGCTTAGGGTTTAAGCTTTTGGCATTAAAACACAACCCCATAGAGCTTAAGCCTTAAGGGTTTAAGGTTTCAGCATTGAAACGATAACCCTAAGCCCTTTAGGGTCAGAACCTTGAAGCCCTGTAGGGCTCTAAGACGTTAACAGGGTTTAACCCTATAGGCGTTGAATGTATAAATGCCCAGACATTACGCTCTCTTTAACCTTTCAGCCCTATAGGGTCTAAAGGCTTAGGGTATTTTTTAAGCCCTGAGGGTTTAAAACCTTAAGCCCTCAAGATGGGCTTGGGTTTAAATGCCTAAATCTTGAATCCTAAACCTTTAAACCTTAACCCTATAGCCTATAGGGTTTAAAGGTTAAGCGTTTAGGCCCCTTAGGGTCTGAACTCTATAGGCTTACTTTTAAAACTTAAACCCTTAAACCTTGACCCTATAGCCTATAGGGTCTAAAGGTTAAGCGTTCAGGCCCCTTAAGGTTAAGGGTCCTAAACGCTTAACCTTTAAACCCTATAGGCCATAGGGTTAAGGTTGAAAGGCTTAGGGTTTAAGATTTTGGCATTAAAACACAAGCCCATAGAGCTTAAACCTTAAGGGGGGTCCAAAGGCTTAGGGTATTTCTTAAGCCCTGAGGGTTTAAAACCCTAAACCCTCAAGGTGGGCTTGGGTTTAAATGCCTAAATCTTGAATCCTAAACCTTTAAACCTTAACCCTATAGCCTATAGGGTTTAAAGGTTAAGCGTTTAGGCCCCTTAGGGTCTGAACTCTATAGACTTACTTTTAAAACCAAAACCCTTCAACCTTGACCCTATAGCCTATAGGGTCTAAAGGTTAAGCGTTTAGGCCCCTTAAGGCTTTAACTCTATGGGCCTGCTATTGAACTTAAACCCTAAACCATTAAGCCTTAGCCCTATAGCCTATAGGGCTTAAAGGTTAAGTGTTTAGGCCCTGTACGCTAAGATTTACACTCGATGGGCTTAGGTTTAAATGCCTAAATCTTAAGGCCTAAACCTTTTAAGCCTTAACCCAAAAGGGTTTTACGGTTAAGGGTTCAGGTTTAAATGGCGGTTAAATCTTCAACTTCACATCGCCTCCGGGCCCATGCAAGTATTCAACTTGATATCGCTAAATCATGAAAATACCTAGATCTTTGGGGGGGGGGGGTAGCATATATATATATATGTAAGAGGAACCTTTGTGTATAATATGATGATTCGGTTTGGGGTTTAATTAGGGTTTAGGGATAAGGTTTAGTAAGTTTAGGCTTCAGGGCTTAGGATCGGTGCGTTTTTCTTTGCTCCTAAACCCCTGAGGTGCTGAGGGCGCCTTAAACCCTTAAGCCCGAAGCCCTAAACCTCAAGCCCAACAAAGTTGCTAGCCCGCACACTTACTGTGGGTCAGGAGGGAATCGGGGAATAATGTGCTGCACGTTTGGGGGTTTAGGGTTTATGCAGGGTGTAGGGCTTAGGAATTAGGGTTTAGGGCTTAGGGCTCTAGCTTTGGGCCACATTTTGCAAGCAGCTCCTGTGCACTCTCGCTGTCGTCTCACATTGCTCGCGTAACTTCTAGGTCCCCTGTTTCCCTCCCACTGACCCCCAAGCTTTTCGTGTGCCTCACGGGGCCTTTTCCAAGTCCCCACGAGGCACACTTGCATCTCTCAGGCTTCGCACTTTACGATCTTGTTGTTTTGGTGAAATCTCTGAACAGGCTGAGCAAAGCCTTTTTGCTCAGTAATGCTTTGATCGTTTTTCCCTGGCATTCCTTGCTGACAAAGCGAGGTCTCGCGAGGTACTAAAAGCATATACGATGTGCCACTCAATGTGGAGCTTGGATTAAATCCCCAAAACAAAAAAGGCCTGAGGCTTCAGTCAACCGTTCACTGAGCCTTGCAGACGAGTATGAGTCTTCGACCAGAATCAGTCTTGCTTTGCTGGGCAATTCTTTGACCCAGAAGATTTGCAGTAACTCTGGGTCTGAAGGTTTTCAAAGAAGCACACTGCCTCAAGGTTCTGCTGCAAACATGTGACTTCAGGCGAACCTTTTGTTCCAGCTGCTACGCGCGAACCCCTCGCGAAATTTCGTGAAGTGAAAACAAAAGAAGTCTACCTCTTGACCAGGCTTCCGCTTCTGGCAGTTTTCCCCTACTCCGCACCCCGAAGCAACAGACAGAAGTTCTTGGTCTGAGGGCTTCTAAGTAGGAGGACTTCACCATGCTCTTGGTAGGAACTTTGGTAACGGATCTACTCTCCTGCCAATTGTGCCTTGGCCACCTGTGCAGCATCTACAAGATAGCCCCACTTCTCGCTTGCCTTGGGCATGCGAGGGAAGTAATCCACAGCCCTGAATTGCAGAGGACAGTCTTTTGCTGTGATGAATGTGTCAGGATCATTGGCATTCTGCAGCGTCCAGGCACCCTGGTGCTTCTTCAAGGCCGGCAACTCGTACTCCTCGTTCGTAAGCAAGTTCTTCAGCACACAGGGATCATCCTTTTTTTCCGAACTCGGCATTCGTCGCTGGGTCACGAATGTGGTAGATCTCAAAGTCCTGCAAGGTCAGGGTCTCGAACTTCTTTTTCAAACCCTCCGAACGTCTTTGAAAGCTCTACTCGCAGGTCGCAAGGTCAGCAAGATCGTTAAGTCGCAGGAACCGACTCTGGCCAGGGTTTTCGTGTGCTCCAAGACGCATGCCAGGTTTCGGTCTCGGGCTAGGGCTCTTCGAAAGGCAAGCAGACGAAAGTGCTCCGCCTCACGGTGCACCTCCAGCCAAAGCCGGACCCGAACGGAAGTCTCTTTCATGGAAACCAAGGACATGACAAAATATGCACTACACAGCTGTCTACCTCTGCTGCTTCCGAGCCTCGCAAGGTTGGGCAAGCTTCGCCTTCCATGTGAAAGTTGTCATGAAAAATGATGAAAAACCGGGCTGTCTGCAAAGGCTCATCATTTTGTCTTCTCCCGGGAAACTTCGCCTTTCTTGCACGGGCGTTTAGCAAGAACTACGGGGCTCTTGATTTGGAGGAGCTGCTGAGTTCAGGCGCCACCAACGAGCTCTGAGGTGTGCTTGCCGAGGTAGAAACATTCTGCCACTTATCGACGAGCTTTTGTGTCTCCACAGGCATGTCTTCTCCGGTTTGTTCCTTGTGCCATTTGAAGGCCTGCAACAGTGCAGCTGCTGCAGCTTGACTGTGGCCGGCCATGGTCCAGCTGAGACTCTTCTGCCGCCTGGCTCCCTTGAGCTTGTGTGTCAATCTCCAACGACCATTGTCGTCGTCCGTGTCACAAGCGACGTCCGGGGGCAGGTGAAGGTGCAGCTGCTTGTCGACGTCCTGGTCCCTCTTCGCATACTTTCTGATCTGTGCCTTCTTTTCGACTTCGCTGTTGTCCACTTCCTTTCGCTTGGTCCCCCGCCTCTGTGTCGATTCCTTTTATTTTTTTTGCTTCTGCAAGATAGCAGCTTGCACCTTCTCCATGGGAATCTTGTCGTAGGACTTCTGATAGCTTACCTTGGCCCACTCGGCCACCTTGCTCGGCGCAGGCGCCTTTTTCTTCAGGTTGTTGATGATCTTCTCCTGGTCCTGGACTCGAAGAGTGTCCTTGATGACATCTGCCAGCTCTTCTGTCATGCCTTCCACAGGGAAATCACGCTCTGTGTTGCGAACTTCAATTCTATCCAGGACAGTCAATGTGGGATCCTCGTTCACCAGCAAGTGCACAGCCAGCGCGACTTCCTGGTTCTCTTGCTGGGCTTCTGCCTCGTCGTGCCCCAACAGACAATTCAGCTTCTTCAACTGCGACTCATTCATGCCTTTGAAGCCACTGTCCATGAGATTCTGCAGCAGAGGCTGCCAGGCTCCTCCCACCAGTTGAATGCCTGCTTTTTGCCCTCGCACGGCCTCCATGGGAGCACAGGGTGTCAGCAGCTTTATCTTGCACTTCTCCAAGGAAAACACGAAGCCCCAAACCAGCTTCTTGAAGGGCTTCTGAAACACGAGCCTGTTGTCTCCTGTCTCCAGCAGGGGCCACAAAAGCAAGCCCTGGGGATATGTTCGGACGACATAGCGCGGCTTCTCCTGCCATTGCAGCACAGACGGGAGGACCGCAAGTAGCCTGGCTGGGAAAGGGTTCTCATTTATCATTTAGCACTGCATGGGATTGCAAGGCTGGGAATGGCAAAGCAGACAGAAAACAAAGCTAACCTCAATGAACATGCACGGGGGGCCTGGGGAACAGCAGCCTGGGCAGGAAGAGGAGCGTCGCCAGCCTGGCCGGAAAGAGGCTGCAGGGATTGGGCGCAGTACGAACCAGCAAACGGAAAACCCACAGCTCAGGACCACCTATTCAACGAACATGTGAGCGACGGACAAAAATCACTGTACACAACACGTGTCCACCATAGTACTGGCTTAGTCAAACATGATTTAGGCAAGCGCTCATGTAATGCATGGGAGCCTCTGGAACAACAGAGGCAGAAAGCCGAAGATCAGGAAGACGAGGAGCTCACCAGCCTGGCCGGAAAGGGCTGTGGCTATCTCACGGAACGGGCTGATGAGCATGGGCTTAGGGTTTAGGGTTTAGGGTTTAGGGTTTAGGGTTTAGGGTTTAGGGCCTAGGGTTTAGGGTTTAGGGTTTAGGGTTTAGGGTTTAGGGTTTAGGGTTTAGGGCTGGGGCTGGGATGCACATATCTCATTTCGTTTGAACCTCACCCCTCGTTTGCGCAAGTGAGCGGGGGAGCTAAGAAAACTGAAGTAAGCAGACTGTGTACTCTATGATATATGGCAATAAACAGTGCATAAGCGACCTAGCATGGACATGGCTTGCATATATGGTAACCATTTTTAGCCCCCCCCCCCCCCCCCCCCGCCGCCCGCTGCTGACTGGGTGAAACTTTGGAGGCAAGCTGCGCTCAGTCTTAAGGCTTAAGGTCTTAAGGCTTTAAAACTTTAAGGCCTACGAGCCAAAGGGCCTAAGGCTAAGGGCCTAAGGGCCTGAGGGCCTAAGGGTTTAAAGTTTAAGGTGGCTTAAGGTCCTGCTTGCACGCAGCTCGCCCAAAATCGCTTGGGCCTAAGACTTAGGGCCTTAGAGCTTAGGGCTTCGGGCTTAGGGCTGAGGACCTAGGACCCTAGGACCCGAGGATTGTAAAGAGGCCTTACCAGACTCCAAGGACGGGCGAAGGTGCAAACGATCCGCGAAGCCCAGAAAGTTGGAAAAATGTTTCACGAGTCACGGGGTTTAGATTTAGATTATGAGGCCGATTTGGCCCTTAGGCCTTAGGGACGTAGGACCTTAGGACTCCTTGTGTATTTATTCTTAAAGGGGCAAGTACCTGGGGCGTGAATTTTCCAAACATCTGGCTTCTCACTTCTTGTCAGCCTCCGCCGGCTGGTCGTTCTTCTTCTCGTCCTCCGGCTTGTCAGCCTCCGCCTTGGGCTTGTCACCCTCCTCCTCCTCCTCCTCCGACTCATCCACCTCCACATGCGCCACCAACCGCGAAAGCCTCCAGCGCTTGCCCGAGCATCCCGGATGCGTCGCATGGTCCACCAACTGCCGCACCGAGATGCTGTCGTTGATGGTGACGTTGGACCTAATGACATTGTCCTCCGCCACAAAGAGCTCCATGCTGGTGCCAGCGCTCATCACGATCAAACTGGAGTAGTTTTCAACTAGCAAGCAAGGCACCTCCGCTCAGCTCATCGGGCCAAAATGTTGCAAGTTCCGGCGTACTCTGGCTAGAGTTTTAGGCTGCAGGCTTAGGGCTTAAGGCTAAGGCTTAGGGCTAGGGCTAGGGCTTAACACCGCAGCTTGGACAAGGAACACACCAAGAATTCTGCCTGATACGCCCCTTACAGTATCTGACGAGCAAAATATTAACGGTAGCCCAGATATTCCTCTAACACAGGGGCCTAAACAATTAACGTATGGTTTTGGGTGCTATTTTGGATACTCTTCTTAAAATATTTAGGGATAAGGGAATTCCGACCCCTATAGTACGCAACACTTGCTCCACTCTCCCCCCCGACCGCCCTGGCCTGCCCAATCCGTGGCATAGAGGCTCGAACGCTTGAAGCCAGAGACGTGGTCTTTCTTCACCTGAATGCGCGTGCGCTTATTAAAGACTTAACAATCTGGGGAACTCAACAGATCGGGCGAGGTTGTTTAGGGTTTTTCCACCCAGAGCTTAGGGTTTCAGGCTATTTAGGGCTTGAGGTTTTTGGGGTTTAGTTTAGGGCATTGCAGGCGCGCTAGAAGGACTGCAGGCCGTCCCTAAACCATACAACATCAACCCTACACCGCCCCTAAACCCAAAGAAACTGCTTCTGAGACTGCAGCCTCGTTCTTCTTTAGGGCTATAGGCTAGAGGGACTAGAGGGTTTAAAGAGCTTAGAGTTTGGGGTACAGGGCTTTGAGGGCCACCACACAGGTTCCTAGTGGCACCTCGGGCCAACCCCTAACTTAAACCGAAACCCTAAACCCTAAACTTAACCCTATATAAACCTAAACCTAAACTGGATGGGGGAATCTTGAATGATGGTAATGGAACAATGATCACTGATCACGGTGAAGAGTCAAGACTGTTAAGACTTATAAGAGTTAAGACAGTTAAGAGTCAAGACTCAAGACTCAAGACTCAAGACTCAAGACTCAAGACTCAAGACTCAATCTGGGCCCCCGACAAGAAGACCAGGATCGGCATGCGCAGCATGTAGCATTGGCATCAGGCCGAGGGCTTGGAGGAGCTAGATTCAGCAGCTAATGATTAGCAGCTAACGCTAAACGATGCGCAAAACCAGCATTCGGATTTCCAATATTGCCACGAATGCCTCGCACTCTTCCACTGACAAGAGAGCCAAGATTCAAGATCGGAAAACCGCCTCTTATGCCCTGGACATCTTGCCTCCTCACATGATTCATCACTGCACAACGGGAAGGCATATGCAAAACCAGCGTTCCCAAGCACTGCTCTGAAACACCATATGATATGATATGAACGATATGTTGAGGTTGTGAGAGAGGATTATGTGTGGACAAAGTGTGTTGTGCAGCACACCATGTTGTGGGAAATACGGGCTGTGATACAGGGATCCGTGTGGAAAAAATGGGCCCGTGTAACACACGATGTTGTGGAGAACATGGGCGGCGATACAGGTTTTCTTCGGGAAAAGCCTGTTTGTCTAACGCGATGTTGTAGAAAACATAGGCTGTGATACAGGATTGCTTGTGGTAAAAGTGTCGCGTGAACCAGACACACAGAGCAGCTTCGGGCCCGCGTTCCCTCCATAAAGAAAGCCTTCAAAAACATGACCAGCGCCGCCTCCAATAATAGAACTTTCTTGTCTTTATCGCCGCCACTATTAGCTATGTCTCTATATGGGAACGTTTTACACATGCGTGGTAAGAGAGGAATACAAACATCATCAATTTTTCATAGGGCGTCGCGAACCTATGTTTTGGCCCTAGATTGAGGCTTTGTGAAAGCCAAAAATGATCAAAAATCACTAAAAAATGCCATTTGGGTGGTTTCCAGGGCCGCCAAACTAGCCAAAATCCCTATGTTTTGGCCGTAGATTGAGGGTTTGTGTAAGCAAAAAATTGTCAAAAAACACTAAAAAAATTGGAATTTGGGTGGTTTCCAAGGCCGCAAAACTAGCCAAAATCCCTATGTTTTGGCCCTGGCTTGAGGGTTTGTGAAAGCAAAAAAACTGTCAAAAAAACACAAAAAATGCCATTCGGGCGGTTTTCAAGGCCGCCAAATGAGCCAAAATCCCTATGTTTTGCCCTAAGTTGAGGCTTTGTGAAGGCCAAACATGATAAAAAATCACTAAAAAATGCCATTTGGGTGGTTTCCAGGGCCGCCAAACTAGCCAACTTCCCTATGTTTTGGCCGTAGATTGAGGGTTTGTGAAAGCAAAAAATGGCCAAAAACCACTAAAAAGTGGAATTTGGGTGGTTTCCAAGGCCGCCAAACTAGCCAAAATCCCTATGTTTTGGCCGTAGATTGAGGGTTTGTGAAAGCAATAAATGATCAACAATCACTAAAAATTGTCATTTGTGTGGTTTCCACAGCCTCCAAACGCGCCAATGTCGCGAAAATATCCGCAAACATATCCACCCTGTAACACCGGGCGTCGCGCATCAGACCATTGGATGGGGACTTTGAAGACGCAAAATACCCAGACACCGGGCGTCGCGAAAAAATCTACCCTGTAACACCGGGCGTCGCGAAAATATCTACGAAAATATCCACCCTGTCACACCGGGCGTCGCGCACCAGGCCATTGGATGGGGACTTTGAAGGCGTACAATTCCCAGAAATCACCAACACTTACCCTGTAACACCGGGCGTCGCGAAAATATCTACATAGAAATTGTATAGGGTTCGTGTCCGGAGTTTTGTACGTTGTTTTGCTTTTGGCTGAATTTTTGCTGAAAACACCTGCTTTTTTTGCATTTTTTCCAACCCCTCGAAAAGGGTTGGGGGGGGTAAGGGTTGGGGGGGGTAATTGCCCAAACTCACAAAAAAATGCCATTTGGGTGGTTTCCAAGGCCGCCAAACTAGCCAAAATCCCTATGTTTTGGTGCTAGATTAGGGTTTGTGAAAGCCAAGAATTGCAAAAAATCACTAAAATTGCAATTTGGAGAGTTTTCAAGGCTGCCAAATGAGCTCAAATCCCTATGTTTTGGCCTTAGGTTGAGGATTTGTGAACGCCAAAATGGTCAAAAATCACTAAAAGTTGCCATTTCGGTGGTTTCCAAAGTCGCCGGGTTGGCCAAAATTCATATGTTTTGGCTCTAGATTGAGGGTTTGTGAAAGCCAAAAATTGCACAAAATCACAAAAAAATACTATTTGGGTGGTTTCCCAGGCCGCCAAACTAGCCGAAATCCCTATGTTTTGGCCCTGGCTTGAGGGTTAGTGAAAGCCAAAAATGGTCAAAAAGCACAAAAAAAATTTCCATTTGGGCGGTTTTCAAGGCCGCCAAATGAGCCAAAATCCCTACGTTTTGCCCTAAGTTGAGGCTTTGTGAAGGCCAAAAATGATCAAAAATCACTAAAAAATGCCATTTGGGTGGTTTCCAGGGCCGCCAAACTAGCCAACTTCCCTATGTTTTGGCCGTAGATTGAGGGTTGTGAAAGCAAAAA